ATCGTTAAATAAACAATGTACTCTCAACGTTCATTTCAACGCAACGCAACTCAACGCAAACGCAACGCAACGACAACGGGTAAAACGCGTTGGGATTTTTGCAATACAACTGGCCGGTACTGTAATGTTGATACGTTTTCCATCGCTGCCGCCATTCGTTCGAATTAAAAAATAAAAAAAATACAGCCTGCGAAAAGGTCAAAATATGGACATGACGCATGCGCAACAACAACTCGGAAGATTTCGGAGAAAAAACGGGCTTCGCGATGGTCTGTTTTTGTTCCGAGATAACTCAGGGGACCCCTGTGAAATCTCGGAAAGTTTTACAAGGATTTGCTTTCATAATCATCCAAACCTGGTTACAACTTGTTACAAGTTGTTAATATTTGCAAAATAGCATCAATGTGAAATGGGTATTAGTATTGAAATTCTAATTCTATGGTGTGCATTTCAGTACTTGGTATGCATTACTTGGAATCAATACTTGGAGTATATTTACTTTCTTAATAGTGTATTATACGATGAAATAAGATGATTAATTGTAAAAATTCAAATGTTAAAAGAAGAAAGGCAAAATCAGAAAGGTTGTTAATAAATTTTACCTCTGATGGTTGTTGCAATTTTGATCATTCAGTAGATGTGCTAACCTTTGGTTACTCTCAGGGTTGTACAGTAGCTGATGAAAACTAAGAGTGGGTGATAGACACTTTAAGGGTGGGGTAGGCGATAGCATTAGTAAACTCTAAATAATAGAGTGGATTTTAAGGATGGAAAGTGGTTTAATAAGGATGGGTGGAAGGCCATGAAAATAACTTTAGACTGGGTGCAAAACTTCCAGGACTGGGTGGTCCCACCCACCATAACATCTCTGACTGTATCTAAAATTGATATTTTCATCATGATTAATAATGAATGAAACTACAGTATTGGAATGATGGCATGACCGTAGCATGATGCACTTCACATTATTATTATCACGATCATTGAATTAAGTATCTATGGAACAGAAACTCAGCTCCCTGGAGTAGTATTCCATAATGTTGCAGCAGCTAATTAGCGCATTTGGCATTCCAACCCTACCAGTTACCCATTTATACTCCTGCGTAGACAGAAGCAATGCAGATAAAGTGCCTTTGCTTAAGGACTCAAGTGAAATGCACTGAGAGGGATTGAACCCCCCAACCTCAAGGTTGGAAAATCAAACTGTTCCCGCTGTGCTAAACCACTTCTATTAGAAATGTTCTGTTTATTTTACAACAATAACAGATTTATGATATCAGCAGTAAATAACAACATAAAACTAAAACAAGAATGATACCACAATTTATCCAATAAACAGTAGTGAAATATTTGAGCATGCTGTGACATGATATAGGAAACGTTGATTGCTGTTCGTAATCAAAATTCTCTCCTTTTTTCAAATTTTATTATTATAGAAAATATTGGAAAAATATGAATATAGAACAAAGGCTTACACAGAGGACTAGACCTCATTAGGTTGAGTGCTTTGGCCTCGTAGACTCGGTAAATTACTAAGAAATAATCCATCTGAAGTAAAAAATACTTCATCTATTCTAAATTACTCATTCATAATTACTATAAATTTGAATCAGGTATGTTTCTCAATGAATATTCGATTTTGGTTATCGATATATTGGAAGGAGTTGATTATGAAGAAAAATGATTTTTGTTTTAGGTTTTATTATCATAGCAGTTAATCTTGTTTATCTATTTACTCTCCAGAATATTGTTCGTGTGAAATTTGAATATAACAAAGAAAAAAGGTAAAGATTTGATTTGTTTACACTATTAGTCAATATTCTAAATGTTGTGTATATTTTCTGCTATTTATAAATCAACATGAATGATTTTGATTCTATATTAATCTGAAATTTTAAACCTAATCTGAGTTTGCATATAATAATTCAGTGAGATTCAAGATTAAAATGACTTACTACTAGACCAATTGTATGAAATAGAAATCGTGCGATATCATATGTGATAAATCTGCACTTGTTTTGTGAAAGTAACGTTGTTATCAGGTTTTAAGATGTTGAAGTTGTTGACATCATTATTGTGGTATTAGTATCTCAATATGAATCTAGTCAAGCTAGGTCAAGGGGATAATGAAATTTCGTGCAAATAAGTTGCTTCCCTCTTCTCAAGTGTTATATGAAATTTGAATTTAATAAAAAAAATTGCTTGTTGCATGTGATCCTGATCATCTTGTAGTAAATGTAATCATTCTCTAAGTAATCAATAATAGTAATGTTTTAGGAGCTGGAGCACCATGCCATTTTCAGTGATAGCTGTTTTTGTACAACTTTTAACCCTGCTCAGCCTCCTTTCTTTGTCCTGTGTAATTATTTAATGTTGTATATATTTGTATTAATACTGGAAGGAGTAAATGAAATAATGATGATTTAAAGAAACAATAATAAAAATAAGGTAGTTCCTTGGATAAAAATCTCACTTGGATGGATATAAGCTCGTAGTTAGCTTCAGAAGTTTGATAACAATTTTGAAAATAACGTATTGATAAACAAAGTATGAAATATTGCATTAAAGTTGAAATTTAGCTTCAAATTCTTAGCCAGCTACGTCAATATATCAGGTCTGCCTTGTCCCTGCCTATGCTCTGTGGATGCTTTTAATCACTACACAAAAATTGATTGCAGTAAAATCGCTAATCAGAGGATGGTTAACTGTTCAAGCAAATTTAGTAACTGTATGGTGTAATGAAACAATGTTTTTATATATTTTTATTTTATATTAATATGTCAGTGACAATTTAGTATTGCCATATTGAAATTTGACTTTTTTTTTTCCAGATGTTTAGAAGTTCATCGACCCCTTAAATTCCAGGATCTTTTAAATAAAGCAAAGACTGCATATGGATTACCGGCCACTATGCAAGTCCATATGAGGTTTACAACACACGAAATTAATTCATCTGTAAGTTGATAAATTAATCAAAATACTGCTTAGAATGGTTGCCATGAAAACTAGAATAGAAAAAAAAATTCTAAGGCTTTTGTCATAGTATTGTATATTTGAATATTAATGTTTTTATGAATTATAATTGTTTTAGTAATGCCATAATGACCTGGTTACCAGGAAAGTATTAGTTAATATGGTTCAATTAAAGTAAGCAAAAAACAGGTAATTTAAACTAATTATAATAATAACTTAATTTTAAAGTAGGTTAGACATGAATATTAAATTATTGATTTTATTTTATTGTTATTGATTTAAATGAAATTAAGAATTAGGATAAAATTGTATTAACAAAGAGCCTACAATTATTTATGGTAAGTGTATACAGTGCATGTACCCTCCTCTACAAGTTATGATAGAATAAGCAAATTGATAGTATTGTGTAGCAGTATACCACATTTTAGTATATTTGATCCAACTTTCATCCTTTAAATCCTTTCTTCTTTCACTAATCAAAATCAAAGGAACATTTTTCTCTTTTCTTACAAGCACATTGATTATTTTTGTAAACTGATAATTTTTCTGGTATTTTCTTTTCTATTTTTGCTAGATAATCATTCCAATTGACAGCCAAACCGATTTGGACCAAGCGGTTGAACTTGTTGATCGAAATCCAAATTCCAAAAGTCTCAGGATATGTTTAGAAGCACTGAATTCTGGGATGCGGGTTATGAGCAATGCTGAGTTGTACGATACAGCAGTAAGTAACCATACAGTAGACATATATTTTAGGTCACTATAATAGGTGGAACAAGGATAATTCTTCTTCCTCCTTGGTTGGAAGGTAAATGAGCTTCACTCTAGCATATTGAACTCCTATTTGGAAATTCCTTTCCACATAATATACAATTGAGTATTCTGTATTTAGGGATAAATCACTTATTACACATGTCTGGTAGTCATCAGAAACCTTTTGCTGTAGTAGTACAGCTATGGTAGACTTGCGCTTCTTGTCCATAGATAGCTTTTACTGATCAGTCATAAATGATAGAAACAATTTTCCAATATTTATTGGTTTTCCTTGCAAAAATATTTTCAAATATATTTTTTTAACTTGACAATAGTTTGTCTTTGGGATGGAGAGTAAGGAAAGATATGAAATTAAAATTGTCACGTCTGACTGGCTTGAATTTCTATTCAGTTATTTTGGACATTCAACCCACTCAATATGTATGCTTGATAGATTGCAAAAGGGTTGCATTTCCTTTATTAATACACAAGCACTCCAAGTGGGAAGAATGCTGTAATATATAAACACTGAACGTTATTGTTGCTGCTATTACAGTATACTGCTATTAGGCCAAAAAAAATTAATTTTTATGTTGGCCACGTTTTGGGAAAATCCAAATAATGGGTAGGTTGGTAGTAAAACTTTTTTTTTTAAAACCAAAAATGTGTTTACGCATAAAAAGTATAAAAAAAAACACAAAATAATACAACAATTTTGGAGTCGCATTGCGTACCATGCACCAAAATAGGCTAGGCCTTGGCCTCCTAGCCTAGGCCAAGGCTATTTCAGCCTTATTAGCTCATGAAAAAAAAAAAATTGTTCCTTGTAAAATAAAAAAAAATTTAAAAAAAATAAATAAAAAATAAATAAAATGCTGACCCTGAATTTAGTAAAATTTGGGTCGGTCGTGCATGGCCAACACAATAATTTTTTTTATTTGGCCTTAGTTCTATGTATGTTTTTAATTATATTATCTCCAACATCATTGTTATATTGTTTTTGTTATTTTATATAATACATGGTAATCATAATTTAAGCACACAGACTTTAGTAAAGCCAAATAATGTTCATAGAATGTTAGTTTCATATCCTGGATTTGAAAATATTTTTTGGTGAGGTTATTTAATATTTGTTATTTACTATTCTATATACCAGTCTTACAGATCGTTATTATTTATCTTCAATTTTTTAAAAATTCCACATAAATTATTTTTATTTTACGTTACAGATACGCAACAAATATCCGTCAGCTAGCAGGTCCTTATCAACACCCCAGGTGGTGGGGGGCAGTCCTGGTAGTGAAACCAAGAGGCATTCAACTCCAGCATTAGGGTCAAGGGAATCACCCCCACCTGGTTATGTACCTCCAGATTATCCATTGCATCAAACCAGTGATCGAGATGAATTTATTCCGGAAACACATGAGGTATTTTTTTCCTTTTTTTTATCATCTATTAATAAATTTTGCTTATTCTTAGCATTAGAATTATATTGTACCTTTTTTTTCGAACATTGGGCTTCAGATTTCTTCTTATAACAATTAACCTTGTGGTCATTAATAATGCTATTTATATTTTTTAAGTAAATGTAATAGATAAACAATTGTAGGTTCACTTTTACAAGGTATTACCTAATAATGAATTAGAAGCTTTTCAAACATTTTGCCTTGATGACTCACTGTACTACCTGTAAATTTCAGGGAACATATTTTCATGCTAGAAACACATAATTCTACCTGTCGCATTGTCACAAAGCATTGTAGTGTATTTCTAGGCCATATTTGATCCATGTGACTCAGCATTCCATTTACAATCTAATTCTTAAGTGTGCATTGATTGATATTTTCAGCAAAATAATGAAATTACACTAGGTGGCCAAGACAGAAAGGGTTTACATAAATCTGGATTGCTTATAGAATAATACCAGAGACATTAACGAGTTAAGTGAAGCTGATAGTGCAGTTGCATCAGTTTCATTAAGCTAGATGAGGTAGTCTTAAGTTTCACACTAAGAATGAAATGGATATAGGAACAGCATTTTGAGAGATCATTTCAAAGTGAACGTTTTAAAAGGTTGGGAAAGAAAATAGAAATGAGTATAGGTGGTATGAGATAAAAAGTGAAATCTTAAAAATTTTGTTTTTATTTTGCATAACATCCTTTTTATGATAGATGTACCCTTAAAAACATATTAAATAGATGTAATTTATAATACTGCAGCTATATAGTATTAATTTGGTGTCTAAAATAAGATGTAACTTTTAACATACACCTGTTTGTTTCTATGCCTTTGTCAATGCAGCCTTTTTCCACCTGGTTCACTTCCTCCTAGTCTGTTGCAGTCTGTCCCATTGGCATCCTTAGGCCTATTGCTACATGCAATTTCCATTACATCTTTTTGTAAAACAGAGGTGTTAGTTCTGTTGAAAAAAACCCCAAAAAATTCATACACCTTCATTTTGACCTTTCTTAGCAATCTTTTTCAATGACATCATTCAATATATTAATAATATAATTAAAAATTTACATTTAATAAGTTAATTTTTCAATATAGTAGTGGGAGAACAAACATTTTTTAAATAATAATGCTTTTGTGGTTTCTTTCCAATGTTGTTGGAGAACATCTACATAACAGTGACGTATTCAAGATTTTGAAAAGGAGTGCTGCATAGAAATATTACATCTACTTAATACCTGTACTAATGGCTATGATTACACATTAAATTGATTGTTAATGTATAAGTAACTTTCTTTGTCATGTATTTTCATTAATTCACTTTTTTTAAAATTTTAATTTAGCACGTTTTTCAGCCAATCCAATCATTTTAATTTGTCTAATGCCAAATTGAGGTTTTGTTCTGATCAGTGGATGTATAGGCAATCATCACAATGCAACTACCTACACTCCCATGGGCATTTGCCCACAATTATTATAAATATCCTACCTATCCAACTTGACTGTATCCTGAAGCAGTAGCAGATAAAATTACAAATAAGTCCTGAGCAATTGATTTGAACCCTTGATCTTTTAGTCGGAAACCCTAAGCCTTACTGATGTGCCACAATCCAATTAAAGATTGACTTTTATTGCTTTTCATTTGAAGTCAATTAGTGTTTGTTGATGAGGAAGGTGAATAGTTTATGTTACATATAGAATACCAGACACCTTCGTGATTTATCAGGTCACCATTGTTAATTAATGCTGACAGAAGTGTACTCTAATGCCAGTCCTGAAAGAAAAGGCTTCACACATATTATAATTTGAGGTTTGGCATTGGGAATGATATTTTTATGGTGATTTGAATTTCAATTGGAACTGAGTTTTCTTTATACATAAAAGGGGAATTTTATATATATTTAATATTTAAACTGTACACATAGAAAATCAGTGCAATAGTACTGAAAGTGCCTATAGTATAAAGGAAGAATAAATAAAAATGAATAAAATAAGGACATTTGTTTAACTCTGCCAATATCTACACACAATTTGAAAGGAATGAACTCATGAATATTAATAAGTTCTTTAAAACTATCAAGCTGGTGAAAAATAATTTTACTTGAACAAAATATATTTCTGTATCACCTGTTAATGTATCAGGAAATATTATTATAAAAGTATTATCAGCTAGCCGTAGAGTAATAATGCTGGACAAGAATCCAAAGTACTATAATTGCTGCGAAGCAGCCAATTCATATTCTTGACAGCAATTTGACCTCTGAAAGGTCATTGTTTGTCAAAAAACAAATGCTGAAGTCATTAAACTAAATTTAAAGCAAAATGTGTTGGGAAAAACTGAATTTTATTATGAATAGAAATATGGCTTTCAAGTTAATTAGAGAAGTGAGTCATGTTTAATTTGCATTCAGCAAATATAGAATATCTAAAGCTAGATTTCATGAATAGTTTGAATACAGTGGTAGAATAGCCTCATTTGTCTTGATAATTATTAGATATGTAGTCAGATAGATATTTTAGTTAGTTTCAAAAACATCTAATAGCATACAGTAAAATCTCTCAATTACGTATCCCTCCGTCTGAACTAAGTTCGTAATTGGCCTAATGCTACAGTACATAGTACACAGGGCTACCATGGGAGCAAAATTTTGTCATGAAATATGACTTGGATTTTACTTTTTTCTACAACAAAAAAATAATACTGCACAGAAACCAAAATTATCCTACTAGCTGTGATGTATTTCCGAATAAAAACTAGTGTTATTATTCTCTTCATAACAATTGTGAATTAGCTTACCACATCCATTGCAAATAGCGTCCCCAATGAACAAAATGGAGATTCTCCATTTCTATGATATGTAGTGTACAGTACGGCACAGTACTAGCTGCTTGAGCAAGCATGCACAGCTCATAATGGAATAAGTCTCGGCTGAATAAAATTTATATTTCTTGCTTTAAAGGAAATTTTATGTCAATTTCATTTTCTTTATTGGCCTTTGTATTCGTTTTAAAGATTTTAAAATACAATTTTAAGTGTTTTATTGTTAAAAATGATCATTTTATAGTAAATAATGACATCATTGCCGCAAATTGAGTTCGTAATTGGGAGGATCGTAATTGGGAGGATCGTAATTGGGAGATGTTACTGTACATGTGATGTTATATTTTAGTGAGAGTTACATCATAATAAAACAAACAGATCGTTATAAAATTTGTTTTTGTTTTTTTATAGGGGTACTGTTTGTATTTGTAATTTATCCGAATTCTAGGCCGACATATATTAGGGACCCCTGCATCTGAGATGTTGAACATAATTTATGGACATGGTTATTTATAGGATCATTTTTAGCTGTAGAGCAATGATAAATCAAAAGTATTGAATGATCAAATAAAGTAATAAAAAATTCAGCACAAAAAAAATTTGAGCCTCCACTAGATATCCTTCGACAGCTTTTTATTCTTTGTCAATTCATATTTAATAACAAAGTAACTAGATGAACCTATTTAAAGAATTGACTATTTGAAGAAGTGATTATTCTTTTTTGCACTTTATTGTAATTTTCTTTCAGTGCTCAATTGAGTTGTCAGTGGGCAAAGTACTGTAGGCCTGAAAGAAGTGTTCATCGGGCAGGGGTCCCAAGTATTCCGGGAATCTCCTGGGAATCAGGACGACCTCCTGCACTCCCGCAGGCAAGCAAGAATCTCCCGGAAATGAACCGATCTCTGCAAATTCATAATTTTGCATGTTTTCACTGCTTTATTATTAATTTTCGCAAAGAAGTCAGAAGTGATAGGTATCACATGTAGCGAAATAAAATTAAATATGTTAAGAAAGCTCATAAACCAGATCAGTGGCAAATTCAAGGGTGGGGAAGCCAGCCTGTGCCCCCTAAATATTTCAAAATTATGATAAGAAAATTATATTGAAATTTATGTCTGAGAGGGCCATTTCCGGCCATCTAGAGGGGCTATGATCATAAATTTTCTTACCATGAGCACCAACCATAATGGGGCTGATTTTGTCTAGACCCTCCATCTGTGGAAGTCCCTCCCTTTCCCCACCCTTTGTCCCCTCCCCCAAACACCCTTCGATCCACCACTGCAGATCTCCTGGAAATGATGCCCCTGATCAGGCAATCAAGGGCATCCCGTATTTCCCCTGACACATATGAAAAAAAAAATAGTATGATAACTGCTGTATATTTATTTTCTTTGTATTCATCTCTTTTTTTCCCTAGGATCATGAATATATTATAAATAGTCCACAAGGAAGTTCAACATCATTAGACAAAGTGGGTGGTCCATATAGAGGAAGTGTATCGTTAGGAAGGTAAGTGTAAATATAGGAAAACAAATGTTACTGTCCATTATAAATGGGATGAAGATCATAAAATATATGAAAGGTATCTTACAAACTCTTCGCAGCCCTAAAACCCAACATTTTTTGCGAAGCATAGTATGAGTCATGCCATTCCAAAACCAGCGTACTGTCACTAAATTTTCAACTGAGTAATTAGCATTTGAATGTGGCAGTGTTGTATACTTTAGTACAGAGAAACCATACTAATTGTACTCATAACTTGGCAATAGTACTTGTTGATCCCTGTAAAATGACCCATCATTTTAAAAAAGAGAATACGAATTATTAAAAAGTAAATTTTCTTTTCTTGGTCACCGATGACAAGTCTCATATGTTTTGCATTTCATTTTATTCATATAAGGCGAACCTTAGCTTTTATCTTCATACATGATGATCCTGCCAGGAGTCCTCTTTAAAATTTGCTAAAAGTGGTCAAATGATTGAGCCACCTAATCGCTTTTGACAGACTTTGTCCTCAGTGCCATACAAACAGATCTCATTCTGTGCCTTGTGGCTTACAATGACATTGGTGCTACTTCTAACACTGACTTACATTGTTCAGAATTTAGTTTTGAAAAGGAAGAATCGTGCCAACATGATTTACATGCGAATATACCTTTGTCTTAGTTTATTTGACAACAGGTATATATAAAAAAATATACTTTATAAAAAAATAAACTATTCATATAAGCATATTACTCAATGCTGTTTGCATTATTATAAAGATAATTACAAAGGTGTATGTTATTTTTTGATGATTTTTTTTTATATTTTGAAGATAATTATAATTGGAAGGTAGTGTAAAAACCTTCATAGATTTTATTTATTGACGTAATAGTTGTTGATATTATGCTTCTTTCTAACTAGCCAATGCATTTTTACCCACAGTGCATCAGGGGCAAGGTTAAAAAGTTCAATTAGCCATGAGGACTTTACAGGTTAGTTCGGTTATATTCCACAAGAAAATATAGCTTTTCCATAGAAATTGAGAAGGAAGGGAATATCATATTGATAAAAATTTTCTGACAAAATAAACTATTATATATATTATCATTATTTCCATTGATTGTAAACATTGTTAAGAATAGACTCAATTTGACCCAACTGTATTTGAGCCCAAAGTTTAGTTTGATGTAGGTAAATATTTTAATAACAAATTTTAATAGTGTAATGTATTTACCCTGAGCAAATATTGCAATTTGTGTGATTGAACTAATTAATTTAAGTTGCTTTTGTTTGCAGATTCAAATTACGGCCATTATAGAGAAGGAAATAAAGGTAGCACATTTCCCAGTCGGGGAAACAGTACAAAGTTTGCTCCAGCGGATTATACAGATGGTCAGTGTTACTCATTTTAACTACCTATTATTTTTTAGATTTGTATTTTAATCAGACATCACTGCTTTCATCATTGTCAACATTAACATTATCATGATCATAATTATCATAAATCACTACTGCTTTCTTCACCACCACCATCATTATCGTAATTACTATCATAATTGTCATAATTGAGATGTTATAATTTCCCACACAACAAATAGGTGAGACAAGCTTATTATACTATGACTGGGTCTGTGTCACAACTTATTCTTTTTTTCTGTAAAATTTTATAACCCTAAATCAGAATCACCAATATATTTGTCGGCAAAAAATAATGTTAAAGGTTTCTTTTTTTTTATATTTTAGGTCGAAGAACTTTTCCAAGCAGGGTAACGAGTAGACCACGTTTAAGCACATCAATAATTGGAAATGAGACCAGCCCCCATGGCAGTGAAATATCGTTTCAGACAGGAAGCAGTGAAAGCAGTGGTATTGGCATAGACTTGGCCAGTGACGTTGGTCGACCGAGGCGAGATGATATGGAAGTTATTAGCAGAATAGAAGAAATTAAAATAGGAGATAATGCAAAATGTATGATGATCCTCTTAACTGTAATTTCTGAATGAATTTTTTTTAAAGTGGCTTTTCCATATGTGTTAATAAGCTGTGGACTTTTACTAAGTTAGCTTTTAGTATTTGGGTCATTTCTTATTTTATCAAGATTATTTCAGGTCTATGTCACTGTAATTAGAATTATATAGATAGAACAGCATTTGACATTATGAAAATGCTGTTAAGTATTAATAAGTAAATTGATATTTGTTATTTTATGCACTAATATTTTTTTTCAATTGCATGTTGTTTTTCATGATTCATTCAATTTAGGTTTCTTATAGAATACTGATATTACTTACAATACTAGAGCTATACTTAACCTCCCACTTCCAGGAATGTAGGTTCAATAATGTAAAACAAAATATAAGTTTATATATAATGTGTTAGGCTTGTAAAATAAAGTTTGTGGTTATAACAACACTTGCATATATCCATTCCATAGCACCTAGGGCTCCGGTTAATTGGTCAAAAGGAAAGTTACTAGGCCAAGGGGCATTTGGCGTGGTCTATCTTTGCTATGACAAGGACACTGGTCGAGAGTTAGCAGTCAAGCAAGTGAACTTAAATGGAAATCATGATGAAGCTAGAAAGGTAAACTATTATATTACTAAATTTTTCTTTAGGTTAAACTAGGACATACAGTGAAACTTACCCTCATTGTGGATCATCACTTATTATTTAATTTTTAATATTTCATTATTGAATATGTTTTATCAGTTTAACTTTCTTTCGATAATTTATGTATGTATGTGTGCTTGCATTGTTTTTTTATTTTGCATTTACACAAGTAGTCAATAAATTTTGTTATTTTTGCTAACTTGGAAAGCAAATTATTTTTGTAATATTTCTAAAATAAAGAGATTCTGGAGAAAAAGTGGATATTCTCCAAATTGACAGTAAACTAGCTTTTAAATTAGATAAAATGGAGTGGTTTTCAAGAGGAAATCTGTTTGGTGGCTTTGAAAGTGAAACTGACAAGTTTTTACTAGTACTGTTGACAACGGTGTTAATGCATTTTAATTGTGGGGAATTATCCTTCACGCTTTGCATTAATCTGATTATATCAACCACCTGTAAGACTGTCTGAGTTGTGGTTTAATTGTATGGACAAAAAAAAATAGACAAAAAATGCAAGCAGGTGTATGTTTGAAGCAAGCTCGCGAACAAATACACGAGTATAGGGATATGTGTGTGTGGTATGCATGCAGATGGAAGTATGTGAAATATATGTAGATTGTTCATGCAGATTCATGCCAGTAATGCATACAAACATGTGAAAGAATGCTTGACAGATGCATTTATGTGTCACAAATGCTGTAATATACCAGTGAGTGGTTGTTTTTTTAAATATTAGGCCGCTGTAACTGTATTTCCTGATCCAGCATTTGTAGTAGTTGTAGATGAGAGTGTGACGCAGTGGCATGTAATGTATAGTTAGTTTCTTGTTCCCTCTTGGCCAACATCAGGAAATCTATATTCTTGTCAGTTTGTTTTCTAAAATGTGTGACTTTGACGTTTATGAAGTAGGTAGGTGTTTAGCCTCATTTATTCCAACACATTAATTTTGTGAACATACCATTGTTTTAGTAGGTATCTATTAGATCTGGTTTAAGCAACAACTGTGAAATACAAGTGAATCATGTGTCTATATTTCAATTTAAATTTAAATAAACCAATTGTGATCAGCAACATAAATTATTATTAACTGCTTCTTGGCTGGGGAGGCAACCACTAGATATGGGCCAAGAACTGTTCATTTCTGAGGGAGAACTTCAATGGTGAATGTCACTAATATCTAATATTGCACCAAGTCCAGTGGGAGAACAACAAATAAATTGTTTCCATTCCCTATAGGAAAGGAATTAAGTGAAAATTATAACAACTTCCGGGAACAGTCTAAGAGTACTTGATACTGCTGCTATTACAATTTAGTTGTCAAAAGCGTTGTAAGCTAATCCAACGATAATTTGTTAGACGAGTGAGTGACTTGGGCATTGGAACTGGTCGTGCCCGTAGGCAAGAATACGGAACACTTTCACAAACAGCGGTCAGGCAGTTGTTTGTTATCGTCACATGACTTTTGTAATCATAAAACCAACAGCTTATTACTGACATTTTTCAAATTGTTGACAGCATGCATGATATATCTAAAATCTAATTAATTTTGATACTCATGGCATGATATAATTCTGTGTGATTTGTTTTCATATTTGTATCAAAAGGAAATATTCAAAAGCAGATATTATATAAATTATATATTGTTAATGCAGTCTATAATTTTTTATAATAGTCAAGAAATGAGCATTCATATCACGGCCCTGTTCCTACCAATCCTTTCACCACTATGCACGAGGATCGTAATGTCGACTTTTTAAAAATTACTGTAAATCGACATATCCACAGAGTATAAACGTGTAATAGTCAAGAAAGATAAGATGACTTAACTAATATTTTCATTGCTTATAAAGTAATTATAGTATTTCTTAATTGTTTACATTATCTACGTTTCTGTTGCATTTTATCATTTTCATTATGGTAATCATGGAAACTTGACCTTTTGGAAACAAGTACAGGGACAGAATGGATATAGTATATGAATAATTTTTTTCATATTATATTTATTGGAACTTGTTTTTCTTAATGATGAAAATGACCGAATTTCATTCCCTTTTTCTTCTATGTATTTGCAGGAAGTTGGGGCGTTAAAGTATGAGATAGAGTTATTAAGGAACATTAACCATGAGCGAATTGTCCAATATTTTGGTTGTCATGAAGATTCTAACACATTATCAATCTTCATGGAATTCATGCCTGGTGTAAGTAGCCACATAAAATACACTTAACTCTTTGATGTCTAGTGCACTTTGTAAATATGCATGATGGGCTAATTGTTCAGAATTTTTTTTGACAATATATTAATCTAACATGTGTGCAATAATTTCTATCTTGTAAATGGTTTGCAACTACAGTAATTACATATTACATTATTCTAAGTACTTTATATGGCTGGACTTTTTTTCCTTTTGATTTTGTTAAATTATCGGCATCTATTTATGTACTGAACAATAACGATTTGCTTTTTGCCAGTTTAAAAATCTTGCATTGATCAAAAGTGTCCAAGCTTGCTAATTGTGGAAAGTAAAATCATCCAAATCACGTTTTTCTCTATACTTTCCTTTTACTGATATAATCATTTCATCTAGCGATAGATAACATGTTCCCAGAGGTACCAACTGTTAATGCATACTTTTTGCGATTTTTGCTGTTGACTTTATGATGGAACAAAATGGAAAGTTCAAAAGGGTTACCAAAAATAAAACTCCTGACATATGCCATTCATATTTTTATCAATTGTTCTAGTTTTTCCGACCACCGTCAAGTTGTTTCATATTTTAGAAGACTGATAAATGTAGAGAGGAAAGACAAGAAATCAGTTGATTTTTATCTGGACAAGTTACTGTTAATTAGCAGCTAACCCATGTGATTGTGTATTCTGAATGAAAATTCCTAAAATGAAATTTGTAAGGAGTCTTGCAAAATAGAACATCTAATTGTAGTCAGGTTTTGAGTACACTATAGGAAATAGAATCCAAAGGAGCCATTATTTCCTGAAAAAAATTGCCTGAAGCCTGCAGGGCTGAAGGCAAATTTTATAAGTTAGATTAATTTATATACTCTCTTCATATTTGTGAAGAAAATGATTTTTTTTTTTGACTACCTATATTTTCTTCCATGAATGTTATACCCATGGCCAGTTATTTTCAGGGGGACAATTGTTAATACATTATTACAGTAGTAAAATCATGCAATCATCATAAATTTTATATATCTTCATTTGAACAATATTTATTTGCAACAAATATAACTCATTTATTAGGGGGCAGATCACATATTGGCATGTATCTATTAAGAATGAACTATTAGCTAAAGAGACTTGTTATGCTGCTATGATGCTACAAGATAATAATAGTTCTCGAAAGTTCTTAGAATGTTAGAGATTGAGATAACTTAATGTGAATTTTTGATATACATTACAGGGCTCTCTTAAAGACGTCATTAAAAGCTATGGTGCATTGACGGAACCAGTAACCAGGAAGTATACCAGACAGATACTGGAGGGTGTCTCGTTCCTGCATGCTAGTCACATTGTTCACAGGGATATTAAAGGTAGTGTTCCATTGGTCAACTGCCAGGTTATACCAAGTACATTTCTGGGGTTCCAATTTGGAGATTAACTTTCGCATCTAGGGTCCTCATTGCATTTTGCTGTGTGTAGTGATACCCAAAGCCAGTTGTTTTCAGGGAGACAATTATTATTACATTATTACAGTGGTAAAATTATGCAAACATCATAAATTTTATATGTCTTCATTTGCACAATATTATTTTCAACAAATATAACTCATCTAAGGAGGCAGATCACATAAGATATAGCTTTTTGGCATGTACTACTTCATATGTTAATCCTTGTGATGGAGTCAATTTCCAAAGTGTCTGATTTGAGATTGTGTTGTTTACCCAATAGGTGCTAATATACTGCGTGATTCCATGGGTAATGTCAAACTAGCCGATTTTGGTGCATCCAAGCGGTTACAGACAATCTGTACTGCTGTTACTGGAATGAAGACGGTGACAGGCACACCATATTGGATGAGCCCGGAGATAATCAATGGAGAAGGATATGGCAGGAAGGCTGATGTGTGGTACGTGAATTCTACTTTGTTCGATGTAGGGGTAAAATATAGTAATTTATTGATGATAAAGTCAAATGACTAAACAGAATGTTATCTCATGCTACCTTTCTTCATGGTAGCTTTGTCATAATTTAGTTTTTAGTCAAGAGAGCAACTTAGCTCAGTTGGCTAATCTGGTGGTAGTCACTCTGTGTGCGCTGAACCGTCGAGATCTCTAGGTCCCCGGTTCAATTTCCATCGCTGCCTCTCCTTGTGTTTCAGCTAGAGGGCTGAAATACAAGTTACAATAGCGCACCGTCTTTCGGATGAGTCGTTGGTCCCGTGTGCATTATGGCCTATGTGCACGTTAAAGAACGCAGTACACTCTTCGTAAAAGATTAGGGGATTGTCTCCCAGTGTACTGCCCAATCACCACCAGAAGGACCCCACTGGAAATAAGTCTTCTTCTTGACTTTCATGGGCTATCCTTGGTGTTTACACCGAATAAATCCAATCCATCCAAATACATTTGTAGTTACCTTTAATTTGTATTTTTTTAGTTTACAATCAAATTTTAGCTAAGGAAAAAATAATAATGGAATTAATATTCATTCTGGGTGTTACTTGGCACAAATGTCAATTGGCAACAGTGTTATAATGTAATATGTAATTATTTATTGTTCTAATATATAACAATAAAACATCAAATAAAACTTGTGGAAGACTAGGGAAAATTTTAAAGGCATATGATTTTTGAAGGAATTCTAGTTATTCAAATTGCTTTTTTTCTTCCGATTAGGAGTATTGGCTGCACTGTAGTAGAGATGTTGACAACAAAGCCTCCATGGGCAGAGTTCGAAGCCATGGCTGCTATTTTTAAGATCGCTACGCAACCCACTAATCCAACTCTTCCCGGGCATGTGTCAAATGATGCAAAAGACTTCTTACGATGTACGTTCCAAGAGTCACCAAAGGAAAGACCACTAGCAGTTCAGCTTTTAAGTCATCGCTTTGTCAGTCAGTTCAACATGGAATAAGAACAGTCATGTTGCACAAAGCTACAAAGCTAATCAGTGTTCAAACATTTCAAGGATAAAGTGTACCTATATAGATGTTGTTTTTCCAGTTGAAAAGACACTGAACACAAATATTGAATGTGCTTTCCATAATAAGCGGACAATATTTTTCACAAGCTGAAATAGAGACTTACCATGTGGAAAAATAAGCATGTAAATATGTGTACAAATGAAGTGGACAAATTGTGAACTAATTGATTACAACTGAGGAAACATGAACATCAATGGAACAATTGAACCCGGTGATGGCTTATTTGAGAATCATTTTTGAAGGAGATGCTTGGTAACCTGGCAACGTGATGAAAATTTCTGTGATGTTTTTCTAACACATTTTCTTAACTCGCATATCTGTAGCTATTTTTGCACTTGCTTGTTTTTATATTTGAGTAAAAGTTTATTGGGGTAGTAAGCTCTAATGACTTTCCTGAACTTTTTTATATATACTTGTGAATTACGTAGCCCAAAATCAAGATATTCAAAGACTTGATAAGAAGAACAATGAAGGTCTTTGATAAGAATTAATTTCTGTAAATTTTGAAAAAGATATCTTAATATATGATATGTTTCAAATAGAATTACTGGTATCTAGCTTCAAGAAAGCTACCATGTTTTTATACATATTATTAATGAATAGGTCTATGATGATTTTTATAATTTTAATATTATATATCTACAAAGTTATATGATTAGCATATGAATATTCATATAAAAGGCTTAAAGTTTGTGGATACCAAATAGTACAATGCAATATCTGTTGAACTTTTAAGAATAACACATACTTTTTTGGGGGATAAATTCAATCAAGTAGATTCCTGTAATGAAAGTGCCTTTCTACTGATCAGAATAATAAAAATATACCTTGGAAGTTTATGCAAACTTTATTCCAATGAAACTGTACTATTGAATGTTTTACTTGAAGTACCTTAGGGCACCTTTGTCATTAATTAAAAGTTATATTTTTACAATTTAGTGGAAAGCTTTTGTATAAACCTGCAAAAACAGTTTCTTTTTGGGTTGTGGATATATGGTAAACCACAAAACAAAGCAAAAACAATTATCAATTATTCTATGATAACTTGATACCCTTTCTCATTTAATTGTTGTACTATGTACTTTTCAAATGTGCTTTTCAAAACTCTTGTTAAATTTTTTATAATCACATCCAATTCAACCATTACAGAGTTGGTATAAAATGCTCATGTGAAAAAAATTCTGGAATTTGGACCCAACACCCTGAAATTGGAAGGCAGCTACTAACTATAAAAATAATGTACTTGCTGTAATTGAGATATTTAATAATAATCTTATGAATGGCATATTTCTATATATTTATGATTATATAATATATTATGTATAATAATGAAACAATTGTATTATTTTCAGTATTTCTTATCCATTGTTTATGATGTTCTAAGTATCTGTAAATGATATTTTAATTTTTCATATATTCTTTTGTTTGATTTTTAAAATGTAAGTGCTATACATTGTTTTATTACCCTATCAAATTTATCAATTCTTATATTTAGAATTTTTCTAAATTTTTCAGTTATATTTGCATTATACTATTTTAATTTAAAGTATATAATTAAGTAATATATAGTGAATTATATAATTTTTCTTGATCAGGGATGGATGACTTACTGGTGGACAGAATATAGAGTTATTTAAGATAATTAAAGGATAGCTTTGCTCTCTGATTGGTGTATTACACATATCATTAAGTTTGATACTAGAGTCATGGAAGAAGTGCCATTTGGCAGTTTCTGTTCTGTGATTGGTGTATTGATCATTAACCTATAACATTTCAAACTTGGCTTTTAGTATCTGCTTTTATACTTATAACATATCAATTTAATATGTTTTTGTATCATGAAAGTGCAGAGTTAGGTTTCTAGAAACCCAGCTTAAATAGAGAGTCAATTATAGCTGATGTTTTTCATAAATCGCTTTACACTTGTGAAGGAGGGAATAGGAATTTAAGATACCATATATTCTCAAGTATAAGACAAGGCATAATATAGCAAATTACGATAGAAAAACAGGTGGTCGTCTTATACGCGCAGTACATACAAATTTTTTATTTTTCAATCATGTTCGTCTTATGTGCGTTTATAACACACGAATGTACTACTACTGAAATGAAGCTGCTAACTGTTAGTATGAATAAATGCAATTTTAAATGCAGGAAATTAGATTTTGATGAACATTTAAAAGCCCATAAAATGGTATTATTTGGAAGATTTGGCCCAACATCTGGCCCTGTTTTTAGGCAGCTAGATGCAGTTTCAAGACCATAAAAAGCAGCAAAAAGTAGGAATACACCGGACGTACTAATATCTTCTGAAAATCTTCTCCTACTCGAGTATATACAGTAACCAGTTAAGGACTCGCATGGTATATCAACTACTGAAAGTACCTACACTACAGATTCTGTTGTTTATTGAAAGGTTTTTATCATTGATTATTTACATGTACTTGTCTTTCCTGAGCAAATGCTGCACATAAAGCCATTATGTTATTTGATAACTAATTAACAAAAATGTGGTAATCTCCATGACAACATAAACCTAAATCAGTTGTAATATCCATGAAAATACAAACATATTAAGTCCTTAATAGCTCCAAGTCTAAATCTAATAATAAATAAGGATCTATTTAAAATTTGTTATTATTATATTTGTTTGTTATTCATATTGTTATTACTAATATATCATATTTTATAATATATCAAGTTGTATGAAAATATGTACTTAAACTTTAAAAGCTATTCTCTATGTTTTTGTTTTAGCCCTATGGGGATTCCTTACAACAAATTACCTGTTAAAAACATGATAGAGTAATTGTAACAAGATTTTTTTTGAAAGCTAGAAAATATAAAATTCCTTTCCCATCTCAAATTGGCAAAGTTTGTCCCAGCATGGAGGAATTACCAATTTCTCCATGGTCCCAGGTATTCTTTTTCCAGCTCTCGACACTCTTTCTTTAATAGTGATAACTGCCCTTGTACGATAGGCTGCAGGTTACAGTGTCTGTTGATCCCAGTTGTTACATGGTTTATATGTACATCAAGTGTGCATCCGGTGTGTAGTATAATGTTGCAGAGTGATGAAGCATGCACATTTTCCCATATATAGAGTAACTCCTCAATCCTACAGAAACCCACAAGCACACATACCCCCTCCCAATATACATACATGCATCCTCACCCTCTCTTACTGACAAACTTTCCCATATTAAACCATATTAAGCAATAATGAAATATATGGTTGAAGAAATGTTATATATCTAGTGCCATGTATGAATATCTATTGGTGTATAATGTCAATGTACCTAACAGTGCAGATGTATTATATGATGTGGTGTAAAATGAAATGTATTGAGGGTGGAAAAAAATCCATACCAAAGCAATTCAAATAACTAGCTAACAATGTATCCAAAGTTGATTAAGGCAAGGTCAATGAGAAAACTCAAAGCCTACCACTCCTTTTTGCTCTACTTGATGATCCCATCCTGTTACAAAGAGTTCAAAACAATCTCTTGACACTGTTTATTTGTTATTAAGCTTGTGATTTTTTATGATGTATTTAAAGGTACTACTATTAATCCAAATTATATATTATATGAGAGTGAAATTATGTCATCACTTCTATTCTCAACAATACAATTTATAGTAGACATAACTTTTGTACCAGCAGTTAACACAACAATGCATAGGAAAATTTTAAAATATTACAACAGTAATGAACCAACATAAATCGACCATGTTTTTTTTTTTACAATATAGAAAGTTCCATTTGTTGGGTTTTTTTAATCAGTTAAAAAATGAAGAAAATATTTTTTTAATGAAGAAATGACCAGTAAGAACATAAAACTACTAATTCTAATAATTAATATTGAATGTATAATTCATGTAGTACATAAAATTAAATTTCTAAAACTAGCTAATCTATAGTTTGGAACTTGATATTTTGCTTGCTGAGCCAGTTCCAATTTGGTATTGCAATGGTTGATAATGTAGCCATAAATTTAAACATTTGCATTCTAGCTTTGATGTACCCTCTACATTTTGCAATAATATCTATCAAAAATATCTCTTAATATATAATATTTTAAAGAGAAATGATGTTATGTATTGTCATAAAATATATTGTACATTGTGCATTGACAAGATATAGGTGAAATGTGGTGCTTAACAGTTGAATGGTCCCATGTTGTCATAGCAAGTTATCTTACAATTATTAATTTTACATCTCTTTCTTAACGATTTTGGTATAGCTTGAATTGCTTTCAAATTTTCAGTATAAAAAGTTGTGGGTAGAAAAGGAATTTAATTGTGAATTAATCATATCCCAGAATTTTTATCAGAAATTTCAGGTATTCTTTCGGTATATAGGTCTAAGAAAATACAGCATTGATTGTTTCCTTGTTGATCAAGAATAAGATATTTAATATACCTGCAGTCATTAATCAAATGTCTGTATCCTTAAAGCTATACTGTCAATTAGCTGCAAATTAGCAATAAAATTCAATATTTAATTGCTTTGTATATTTATGTAAGTTATTAGATTTAAATTCCTATGTATTTTGCATAGACCCTTAAATTGACTGGTAATCAATTTTAGGTATTTCTTGGCAAAATATCTCTGAATCATATTTTGATACTATGTCATTGGGAATTGGTAACTTTATTTGATCTTTTGAAATGAGCAATTCAATATTTAATCAAATTTTTGAGGGTTTTTTGCAGTTTTTACCACATACAGCATATCTGATTTTGTTTTTTATTTTGTAAATATTATGAAAGATTTTAAGTGGTAATAGACAAACCAATCTCAAACAGGCTTTGATTAACAGTTCCAATGCAATGCATGTGATAGTTTGATTTTGTCTTTCTACTAATGTTTATTATTGTACAAGTAGATGTGTTTAGTTAACATAATTTGGTGAAAGTATCAAATTATAATTGTATGTGATCCTAATAATTTGAAAGAGTATATGTAATCATTTTTGCTGATGACTGCAAACTAAGCTTGGGCTACAGTATATTAGCAAATATCGGCGATAGTGTATCGTTCAATCTATTTTATACAAAAGTGTGAAATAAAGAATTGTCGTACATGAAATATATTGTTTCTGAGTTTATTGTTGTTTTTGCTGTTATTGCCAATGTTTTCTGATGTTGAACATTTGTATTTATTTGTAATGTTATGTATTATTATCTACTGTTGCTTATGTTGTATATTGTGTCAGTTTTGATGTCGTCATTTTATATTCCACATAATTTACTTATCCACGATTGAACATAAATTTGTAGTAGTGTTTTAATAGTATGTTTTGTGGCTTGTGTGCAAATAGTGCAAGCAAATCTGTTTATGTGATGACAGCACAAATAATAATACTACGGTGGCCTAGCTGAAGTAAACAAAGTTGCTGGTGGGTCATAGCGGAGTATATGATTCCCTGCAGACGGAAAAAAAATAAATAGTGGTTCCATTGGCTTCTGTTTTCCTATTCATATATAAAAAATAATAATATGTCATTCTTATATAGCGCTTAATTCCTTAACAAAGCCTCTAAGCGCTTCACATTACTACCCCGGTCATTGAATCAAACATATATGGAACACATTGAACACCAATTTAAATTATTAAAGCCCCATTCCCGGCAAAATTTCACTAAAAACTGACTTTTTTTTAGAAAATATGCATTTGCATTACTCCAATTATTATAAATCATGGAAAAATATTGGCATGAATTTTAGTTTTACGCAAAAGAATTAAAAAAAAGAGAAATACGGACTATTTCTCATAAAATATTACCATTTTCTCGACGAATTCATCGTTACTAGGCAAATTCAGAGGTTGTAGATCGCATCCACTGGGAATACTCTCGCTTTTACGTATACTTTATACAGTCAATAAAGTGCGCCCTCTCTAGTGAGATTAGTTTTTGTACTTCGCATCTCGCACAATGCGGTCGTTCGGTTAGGCTGAGATATGTTTGTTTAAGTGTCAAAATCTCAGTCAGAATCAGTT